TAAGAAAATCTTTGCCCCTTTTTTTTTTTGTTTGTTTGTTTTGTAATGGTACTTGATTTTTGTTTTAGCACGAGGAACGTTGCACTCACTGCAGTTGGGGCATGTGAACTTTCAGTTTTCATCATAACTAATTTTAAGTGGGTGTTTATCCAAAACTTGCAGCTAATTGGATGATGGGATTGCTGACTTCATGCACACAGTTGTGGGTTGAGTACTTAATAATCTGTTTAAATCACATCCCATTCTGCCTGCTGATATTTATATAAGCAGGAAATAGGGATTATTTTTCAGAAAAGTTGATCAATAACTTTAACTAATATTTTAAATGAACCTTCTTGGCAGATAAATCACCATGTTCTTGCTTCTGCAGCTGGAGTGGTATGGAAGAAATTATATTATTCATGTGTGGCAGTGCAGTCAGCAGTAGGCATTTGTATGTAGAATGATTGGCTACTATTGGGGGACAGCTTAAACATTTTCAGGCAAAGTTTTCATAAGTCTCCTGACTTCAATTTTTAGCTGTATCCCTTGCCAACATTCCTAATTACAATTACACCGGGCAGTTGGCCATTAACTGTTGCTTCTTGTCTTTCTGCCCTTGCTGTTCTGATAGCCTGGCAGTCCTTATTTTTTCTCCTCACACACGTGTGTGACCACCCTTAAGTACATTTATGTCTGGGAGCAGGCTAGGAACAGGCAGTCTGGTATTCCTTATTTCCCTCTGTTGTCACAGTGTTGGGATAAATGACGTGTGTGTGTACCTGATCCGTGGATAAACCATTTCCTCTGCGAAAGAAGTTCTGAAAGTGCAGTTCCTCCTTCCTTCCTTCCTTGCCCTCCCCGTCACACCTCTCAGCAGCTTTCAGGCAGCTCCACAGACATGTTCCAGCAAATGCCAGGGCTCCTGAGGAAGGACTATAAATCGTGGAAATAATCCCTGTAGTCGGTTAGTGCTCAGGTTAGCCCAGTAAATTTGCAATGTTATGGTTACAAGGGATTTAAGGGCATTATCTTTCCTGTGCAAACAGTGCATGAAAGTTCTTCAGGGATTTTTCCCATATAGCTCTGGCAGCTAAAGACAGATTGCAGAATATGGTTTTGAGAGCAAAAAGTTCTGCTTCCTGACTTGTTTTCCTAAATACAGTTCTATGTACAGGTTAAATTAAAATGAAGTTTAAAATACATTTATAAACTGATTTGAAGTTATATGAAATGCTTTTTCTATGCATAAACCTGTTAAATTTTGAAGTGTATTATGTAAAGATCTGGAAGTAGAGGAAGATGCCCCCTCCAGTGCCACAGGAAAGCTGGGATCTTACACATCCATGTCCCTCTGTTGAGCGTTCCACTGCCAGCCATGTGGTGGAGGATCAAGTTGGATCTGACAGCTGACACAGGGAGATACAGTGTCTGTGTTCTGGGTTTGGGCAAAAGAATTTGGGAGGGAAATGCCAGGTTAGCAGAGAGAGAAGAAACTTTTCCTTTTGTAAACAATCTTACAAGAAGATAACAATTTCTTTGAAGCTACTTAAAAATTGTGGTATTTGGATTCTGGTAGACTAAGTCCAGACAGGATGGATTTGCAAAAGGAACAGCTGATGGGCAGTAAAAGATAAACGATGAACCATTTTGTTGGGCTCAGTTTATTTCCTCAAGTGTTGTGTATATATTCTGTTTTGGAAACCTAAAGTATATATGTTGGTCATTCTGAGTGGCTGCTTCCTATTATTTACAGTGATGTGTAATTATACACAGACTCTGACAAATATAGCAGTGTCGTAGGGTCTATTTTTAGGCTCAGATATTTGTTATTATGACCTAATGTGCCAAAACTTAGCCAAGCTATGAGCAAGAAAATCTTACAGGCAAACAATGCTATCGACCTTGCGCATAGCCTGGTACCAAAGAAAGATCATCTGTACCAGGACAGGGCGTTCTGCTGGATTTTTCCTCTTTGTCCAGTTGGTTTCCTCTGTTCTAGACAGACAGGATGAGTTGGTGAGGTAGAGCACACAGTTGCTGGGCTGGAACAAGATGTTTATTTTCCATTGTTTGTAATCATGCATGCCTTATTATGCTGCTTTTTTTTTTTTTTTTTTTTTTTTTTTTTTTTTTGGTTTTGTTTTGTTTGTTTATTTCAACCAGGATTTTCCACTGCTGCTTCACTGAGGATCAGTGTTGTTCACTATCCTTTTACTCAAAATAGGTATCCTGTGCCTGTGTGAAGTCCCACTGACCCTTCAGCAGGATAATTGCACTTCAGTCCTTCCTCACCTCATGCAGGACTGGAATAAAACAGGGAAAACACAGTCACCCACTTCGGAGCCCCCTTCCAGGCTCTGCCAAAAGGGTTATTGGTACTCATTAACCCCGAGGAATGGAGTAACATCTGAAAAGCAGCAAGCAGAGCTGAAACAAATGCTGAGCTCAGAGTCAGTTCACAGCAGTGACATTATGCTCATCCCAAAACATTCCCATGTGGAAGACACCCAGGAGGTGCCCGATGTTTTCGGAGGTGATCCTGTCTGTATCTACATCAGAACTTGTGCAGTGGTGAACGTGGCTTTGCTGTAGGGTTCCACCTCCTTTGCCTCTGCACTGCTTCTGGCAGCAGGGTTTGCATCCTACCTTGCATTTCCTTACATTAAATCCATCCTTCAGCGTCTCAAGACATGGATGTGTTTTCCTGCCTCTGGCAAGCCCCTGGCTGTATCCTTCTCCTGTTACTGAGGCTCCCCCCCGCCCCTCTTGTTAGAGGTCAATCTGAAGTGCAGGAAAGAATGATTATGATAACAGGAGGAAACAGGAAGAATCATGCTTTCTTTTTCAATCTGTTTTTTATTATTGTTTTAATGTAAAACATTGTTTCAATTAAATGCTGACCTGTGCAGTGGCGTGTGCGTGCACATGCTGAAATGAATTCCGGCTTTGTTTGGAAAGCTGTGACCTCTTTATTCCTGTTCTGGATCAAGGCTGTTGCCTTTCAAACCCACTGCTGAGGACTGAAATTTCACTCGTACTCCTCCTAGCTCTGGCAGTAACAAACCTTAGGAGCAGTGGTCTCCTTGGGCATTTCTATTTGCTGATCTTTCTCAGTTTTTAAAATAAGCATGCTTGGTTTTAAGACTTATTTATGTCAGGGTAAAAAAAACCAAAAAACTGTTGCATTTAAAATGCATCAAATGAATGCTGGGGTACACTTGCACTTGGTGGAGCAGATAGGTATAGAAATAAGCAGATATCTTTATCATTTACTTGCTTTCTCTATGCCTTAATTTCATGTGATGTTATTTACTTGCAGTTTTTTAAACTGGGACTCCCATGTGAATTGACTGCCCTGAAAGAACATACAAGACTGGACCCCAATGCCCACTCCCACCTCACAAAATCTTTGCTGCAATGTCATTGGAATAATATGTTGAGTTTGTTATTTGTTTAGATATAAATTTTAAATCTGGGGGGTTGAATCTATCTTGTCTTGTTTAATTTTTTTGTTGTGGTTTGTTTTGGTTTTTTTGCTTAAAATGAACTTCTTCAGAGGAAGGAAGAAGTGGGCAAGGAATAACATGAAATCTGCCTGAGTTGTTAAAATGAGTCAGTTACGTTTTATACTTGTCCTCTGGTGACCAGATTTTCATTTTTCTCCTTGGCCTCATGGAATGTTTTTGTTTATATATCTTATTAGTTTTGGATGTTCTGTGCAAGGGGAAACCTGAATTACAAACTTTTTTTTCTTTCTGCTATTGTATTAAGAGCCCGGGTATTGGATGCAGGTGCTCCGACTGTGCCGTAATTGGCACTTTATGGAGAGACAGCAGCTGTACTGCTTCACAGGGGACATATTATATCTCTTCACACGTTGTATATATTGTAGGAAATGCAGAATTCCTGTCATTGTCAGAAACTTTGCATGTCTGCATCTACCAGAGCCTCTGCAGAAAAAAAAAAAAAAAGACAACAATCTGCTGAAAGTTAAAACCACCTCTATTTTCAGAAATGGCTTTTATCCCTTTTATTGTCCTTTCATGTAGCACTAATTGATGTTTTGTTTGGTTAAATATAGAAGAGACTTAACAAATGTTTGTCTTTTTATGGTCATGCAAGGTGAGCTGGTGTGGTATGAGCCGCCTCATTTGTTTTGGAACACATGGCAACAGATACCGCGTATCTGGATGTGCGTATACCTGTATTTAAAATTATACTCATCACATAATAATATACCAAAAAAAAAAAAAAAGTTTAACATTTTCAGTCACAGGACAAGGTTGGAAGCAGAAGCAATAAAACTCTATATTATATTAGGCCTTAAAAGGTATAATTATACTGGGGAAACCGTCCTGCTTTTGGGTACATTGGGGGCTGCAGTTGCTCTCTGGGGAATGTCTGGGAGCTGCCAACAGTACCTCTCTGTCCTGCCTGAGGAGTATTGATGTGTGAGTAGGTGGGACTTGTGTGGCTTTTGAGGGATTGATTTATAGGAGGAGACTAGGAATTCGTATCAAGATTTATAGATACTGCATGTGAGTGATGTGTTTGAATAAAAGAGTGGGTAAAAGCTCTGCCTGCATTTTAATAGTGTAATTGCTGAAGGGAACAAAGAACTGTTGAGTGTCACAGGGAATGTTTGTTTCATATCAAGAAAAATGCAGGTGTCTGGCATCTTGCTACATGGAAAAACAGAGTTCCAATGGAAGTTAAAACAGTCTCATCAGGTTTTTTTAAAAAAGTTTTGAAGATACTGTCCTGATAATAAGTGGGCAAGGTTGTGGATTTCTTATGAGCTAATTTAACACGTCCTTGAATGTTCATTGGTCCTTCTTCCTCTGGGGTTTAGAAATGTGTGCAGATCAATGTATGAACACTTGGAGAGTTTGCCCTGTAAGCTTCATCTCTGGGAAAATGCAACGAGGCTGTTTAGTTCTGTCTTTTGGAACAGATACCGCTTATGTTCGAGAACCAGGAGGAAGCCTACCTATTCCCATGTTTTTTTGTCCCGCTAGGTTTGTACGCCCTGCGGAGAGTGCTGGGGAAGAGGCCCGGCCTGTGGGACGCTGCGGTGGCTGGGTCAGTGATGATTGCTTTCAATGACTTCCTGCAGGGGATGAATGATGTCAGGCCCAGCGCCATGAGGGAGGTGGCAATTGATGTGCCAAAAGTAAGTTGTTTCGTGCAATGCTGTGGCAGCATTGTCAGGGCCACGTAAAGAGAGGATTTTTATGGAGTGGAAGCCTTAATTTAATGGTTAATATTGTGCATCATCTTTCTGTTTGCCTGTTTGTTTATTTATAACTTCGAAGAACTGTTTGCAGAATGGCCTCTATCAGGAAGAGTTTGGAGAGCAGGATCATACCTCCTGATCTATAGATTTTTATGCTGGGTGGGTTAATGGGGTAAAAATTTTCAGATGCATGTTCAAGGATGGTCTGGAGCAGCTGTGAAAGCTGGAGCCTTTTGGGAAGCAGACACAAACTAAAGCAGAAACCCGCTGTTAGCAGTTGTAACCAAAGTGTGTTGAAACAAAGCTGTGAAGAGTTTGGTTGCTCTGATTTTTATGTAAATGTGGCCTGAATGTCTTCAAGTGGCATTATATGGTTTTAAGTGAAGGCAGAATTCAATGCTGTAGGCTGATTATCACTGCCAAACAGTCACCTGTCAGATGACTGTCATAATATGAACAGTTCATTTGGCTGTGCCAGGTTCATCTTCACCCTGCTCACTGCCCTCTTAATTACATATTATAATAGTTCAGTAGCAGACCCAACATAAATTGTGCTGGGGAGCTGATCTGATTTAAAGCAGCTCTTGATCTACGTTAAGAAGATTGAGCAAAAGAATTTTGTGTTTAATCTGACTAAATCCTGATTCTGTGAGCAGTTGTGCTGGTGTTTCTCAGCAGCTCCCCAAGCCCTAGAAGAAAACATTTATGTTTCATTGCATGAAAATGAGTCATTTGGGAATTGGATTGCACAACTGTAGAGCCTTATTCCCAAACTTATAGGAATGGGAAATAAAATCCATGAACCGGATGCTGCACACAGCCAGCTCGGATGTCACACTTGGCTTGCTAAGAGTCCTTGCTGTGCAGGGTGGAATTGCCTGGGCTGGCCCCAAACAGCTTTTCCTGGAAATGGTGTCATGGCACCAATATCCTCAAGGCTAAGTGGTTCTGCTGAGAGCCAGAGTTACTGATTCTTGCCTTGCTCGTTGTGCCGCTGGCACATGGGCTCAGGTTGTCATCCCTGTGCTGTGCCTCTCAGGCACTCCAGCCCCTTGGAGCCAGGTGGAATGCTGCCCAACAGCAAAACACAGGCAGGTAGAAGCAAGGTCTTGAGGTACAGCAGGAAATCTCTTCTCAGTCCAGGACAACCTGCTCCTCAGGCTTCTCTTGTCCTCTAAACCATCCTGCCAGTGGCTTTCTTGATTGTCACTTGATTTTATTTGTTAAACACCCACTGAGTTATTGGAGTACTACTGGAATTCTTTCATTTATTAACATAGTGGAGATTGGTTTTGTGCTGACAAAGACTGCATTTCCACAAAGTAATGTGTATTCTCTGAAGATGTAGGGTAAATGTCAAGCCCATCTGCTTGCTGCCTGGGGTGAGTTTAAAGTAGAATCTAAAGTACTGGGTGCAACAAATTTTGTGTCCTCCCATATCACCTGCCAAAGGAAGGGAGTTTGGAACTAAATGATCTTTAGCGTCTATTCCATCTCAAAATATTCTGTGAATTCTGCAATCTAAAAAATCTTTGCTAAAAATAACTTCAAACACCAAATAAATTATTAAGATGTGAGATTTTTTTTTTTTTTTCCCCACAAAGAGAAGACAGGAATTTGAGCTACATTGGCAATACCAGCTTTTTAGGTATTTATTGCAGATACAGTACCCACTTGGCATCCCCCTTGGTGTGGGTGGGACTTTTGGCCTATGTTGCTAATTACAAGTAAAACCATTGACATACATGAGATTTTTAGCTTCATTTTTCAGATGGTGGAGCTCTTTCATATTTCATTGCTTTGCAGTAGCCGTGTGCCAATCAAATGGCAAGACTTCAAGGAAACTTCTGAACAAAGCCACAATTCCTTCCTCTTGTGTCTGAATTGTGTTGGCTGTGACCAAGGCAAATGTAAAATCCTTGCTGCCTAGTTCTGTGTGGCATCTTGCCTTCCATTTTATCAGAGCTTTCCTTGAACTTTGCTGTGCATTACAACCTTTTTAGAAGGCTGCTTTTTCTGCAGCAGGGATTTAGGAGAGAGGGGATGCACATTATAAATCAGGAAGTTAATACTGCAGTTCTTTGGAGAGTTGCACTGCAGTTGCCCTCCCTCCCTCTCCTATGGGTCTTTCTGAAATGTTTTTGAGAGAGTGCTGTGGGTTTTGCTTGCCTCTTTCACTCTCTTTACTGTAATTCAATGCTCAGATTTGTATCTTTGCAGCCAAAAGGTTCTGGACAAGACATCCTTTGCCTGTCTGCTTTATTTCTTTATTACTGGTTCTTAATAACCTCTAGGGAGCTGCTGCTCTGCATCACACTCTTAGCTCTGTTGACCTGGGGAGAGCTAAAGATTGCAGCAGTAATGAAATGTTGGTGTCATACACGCTGTAGCAGAGAGCTGGTTTTGTATGTGTGAGCCCAGCCCCAAGGCTAATCTTTAAAGCCATTTCCACAGTCACAGAACATCACACCTCATTGCTGGTGTTGCAAGACCCCTCTGAGTTCCTGTGCAGGTGAGAGCAGTGTAACTATGGCTGGTGGACTGGTCCCCAGCCTCTCTCCCCACTCCCCCCCTTCTTATCTCTCTCCTTTTGAAGCGAGAACAAATTTGTTCTGTTTAGAATTCACGTGTGAATTGTGAAGGTAGTGGTTTACTAGCTATTTTTACTTTTAATACTCTTGCCACACCAATTCCACGCCTTGAACTGTCGGAATTTAAAATGTAACCAAAGTCAGAATAGGTCTCCAGATTGCTGAAAACAACCTTCATGTGAGGTGGCCTTACTTCACCTTTTCTGTACAATTCTGTCACTTGTGCTGGTGTTAAATGACATGTAGTGGCTCTGAAAAATCACTTGAATGATGCCTGAATGATATTCAGTAGACTGAATATTTGCAGAGGGTAAATGACTGAATATTTAAGAGGATAAAAATAGCATTTAAGTGTTTTCTCCCTGGCTTTTTATGTGCAAGTAAAGTACTGCTAATAGAGCTTGCCTTCTGTTGCTGAAACTTCTAGGGAATTCATGATGGCCTGATAAATTTCAAGATGGTCATGTTTGTCAAAGTCTTTGTCTAGATAGAAAGACATGATGATAGGAATGACTAGTCCATGCTTTGCCAGGTATGAGTAAGGATTGACACTGAAAAAAGGAGAACAAACTTGTGTTGTCTTCTTCCCTCAGAAAAAAATTGTCTAAGAGTATCAAGATTTAGTTCTGTGCAGTTAAAAAATCTCGTACACAGAATCAAGGGATGTAGGGGAAGGTAATAGATATTTTTTAATGAAATTTAAACCAAACTAGTTCATATATGACTCAGAAACACAAACTTTTGTTGTGTTTGCTCTCTGCTCTCTTTGTAATCTTCTTCTATGTCAAGGTCTGACAATCTAAGAGAAATTTTATTTGCTTTGAAATTTGCTTGGTCTTAAACAAAAGTGCTTGCACCGCATCCAAATGCTCTTTTTCATCCACTTCAATAGCAGACTGGATTACATTTTTCAGGGACTGTCTACTTCTACTTTCCGCTCCTTGTCCTGGCATCAGGAGAAAATAAGGACAAACCTTATTTATAAAAGGGTGAGACCAGATTTCAGCTCAGGGGAAAGGCAATACCTTACCTCTCAGCAACAATTTTCTTGCTTTTCACATGAAACTCATTTTCCAGAGATGAAGGATGATTTATGTGGAGCAAATGTCTGGAAGAGTGTTTCAAGGCAGAAGATCATTTGATTTAGGTGTGCCTTGACATGTTTAATACTTGAAGTGAATGGGAGTGGATGGTGACCAGAGGAAGAGCGAGCTGGGAGGATGTGGAGAAAAGTCTCAGGCTTGTTGACAGCCATGTAGGAAGAGGTGTGGCAGGTTTTAGATCTGCCTGCTTTTTTGGGTAGGACATATCATGTGCCTTTATGTATTCCTGACAAGCCTGTCTTGTGCTTCTTGTTTAATAAAGACTTTTTGAAGAAGTAACTCATGAAAAAAAGCTTCATTAATGAACTAGTACACATTCTACATAGCATTTTTGATTTGTTTCCTTTTTTAATTGTTCTGTTCCATTGCCTGAATTCAGCAAAAATGCTCTGTTCTGCAGGTATCTTGGTCAGACATAGGAGGACTGGAAGATGTCAAGCTGAAGTTGAAACAGGCAGTTGAATGGCCTCTCAAACATCCAGAGTCCTTCATCCGAATGGGGATCCAGCCTCCCAAAGGTGTCCTGCTTTATGGACCTCCTGGGTGCTCAAAAACCATGATAGCAAAAGCTTTGGCTCATGAAAGTGGCCTCAACTTCTTGGCAGTGAAGGTAGGCCATTCAGACTCACGTTTTCTTAACTCCTGCATAACAATGGATGGTTTACCAATTTCCAGAGTTAAAATCCAGTGGCTCTCAGTGTTTCTGATCCCTATACATGCTCCAGCAAACACCTTGTAAATATCAAGTAAGTTTGTGTTTTCTTGTATGCTGTTAAAAGAATTGTTATTTATTTTATCACAGCACAAATGTTGGACGGACAGGTAAGCTGTGGAGTGACATCTTAAGTAGTGGCAGTGTTTAAAGTCTTTCTAAAAGTGGCAACAGTATTTATACTGCAATTAAAGCAATGTAAGTGAGAAGTGACTCTGGATAGTGGATAGTAATAATTACTTGTGTGCATGGAAATACTGTCATCTGATCCCTTACATTCCTTTTCATTCCTCAGGATGGTCACTTTCTTTATCTCGCCGTTCGTGTTTCATTACAGATTTTTCTTGTTCTATTTGCCTTTTTTTCTGGGAAAATAGTTCTACTTCCTCAGTTTTCAGAGAGCTTGCAAAATCAGTTATATCTTGAATGCTCTTGGATAAATGGGATATTCTCTCAGCGTTAAGAAACACTTGGTGTAGAAAAATTTTGGATTTTGTTGCCTATGAATCAGTGTAATCGATTACTGTGGGTTGTATGGAAAACACATGAATGGAAGTTATTTAATAATAATACTGAGCTTCACTGCATAGGAAAGAAAAAAAAAAGATAGCAGAGTGATTCCACATGGGGTAGTCTTGCAGCTGTGTCAGAATGTTAATGAAGTGCAAGAAAAAACATTTGTTTAAGTATTTTGAAAGTGTCTCCTCCTCAGCAGTAAGATCACGTCCCCTTCTCTGTCGACCATCTCTTTACTCACAAAGGCTCCTGTGTTGGTTTCTGCACAGCTTCCTCCTTCTCCCATCCTTTCAGGCACGCTGTAGCTGAGGATCCTCTCTGGGAGCAGAGGGTTGTGCTGACCCTGAAGCCAGCAGCCCTTCACTGCCCGGGTTCCCTGGGATTGCAGGCAGCCCTCTGGGTCATGGTCACATCGACAAGGGCAGCCTTGGAAACCTCAGCCCTTAAGAAACACTACCTTTACTGCCTCTTCCATAAAGACAAAGTAGTTCTTTGTGCTCCAGAGTTAGTGGTAAACAAGGTAACCTTTTCCTCTGCCTCAGCTTAAAAGAAAACATTCCTCTTTGTCTCACCCTAAGCACTGGTGCCTGGGAGGGTGGGGAAAAAGGGTGGCAATCTGGAAAAAAAAAAGCCAGTTAAAAATGGATGGTGTTGCTGCCTTATATCCCTCAATCATGGCACCATCAGACATTTTTACTGATGCAGTTAATATCCAGAAGTGAAGGGTGGCTCATGCTGACCGCGAAGTATCCGAGGGTGCAGTGATGCGAAGTGCTGGTGTACAGTAAATGCAGCATTTTTCTGTGGTGGAGTTCTGCACGTGCAACATCCCCCATCATTGACAAGCTGCAGCAGAAATGTCTGATTCTTGGAAACTGCCTGTGATTCCCTGTTGGTTTAAATCCCCTGGCCTGGAACTGGTCAAATATTCAATGTACAGATGTTTTGAGAAGCACATCTCTGGAGCATGTCCAATCCTGGACATGTTGACTCCAGGAAGGGAACATAGCCCATTTCTCTAACTTCACATTTGTTTCCTGGACACAAAAAGGCAACATTTGTCATGTACTAAATGTGTTAAACATCGTCTGTAGCAATGCTTTTTCAAGCACAACAGGCATGAATTAATTTCCACTGTAAATGTTCCTGCAGTAAATCCAAAGTAGATGAATATGTGGGGTTTTGGTTTGTTTTGTTGGGTTTTTTTTGAGAGGGGATTTTTCTTTTCTTGCTTACAGCCCTATTAGTTTTCCCTTTCACTACATTATGTCTTGGATGTCCGTGCCTGGAACTGACATCAGGCATTTTGAAATGAAAGTGTGATCCTTGATGATTTACTTTTCAGACTTTAATTTTCCTTCCAGTCTCTCTCACGTAAGTAATTCTGATGAAAAGTGTCGGCTGTCCAGCTTGTAGGATACTCTTTTGGGATAGTGGAGAGGGCAGAGGTTCTTGGGCCCTTCTGGAGCAGGGGCTGCAGGCAGGAGGCACAGCTCTAGCTGTGGGAGCCTGCTCTGGATGCTGCCTCTCCCTTTGTCTGTGAAGCCCGAGAGAAAATCAGTGCTGTTACATGCAGTGCTTGCTCGGTCCAGTGATTTTTTTGGAAGGCTGGACCTATTGTGTCTGCACGCTGCATTTAAGAGCCATGAGGACAGTAAGTCTCAGTTCCCACCAGTGCTGGATGTACTGTCCTTGTCTGAGCTGGCTGTCCGGCCTCAGTGCAGCAGGTATCGCCCCTGCCCCAGCTTGCCTCTAGGAAGGCTTTGTTTGCCACATGTGTCTGTGCAGTTTGGACAGCTGACTCTGTTCAGTCAGACATTTCAGCTGGGTTATGAGCAAACTGTTCAAATGTGACCTTTCCATCAGTCTTGGGCATGGGGAGCTGTCACAAGGCAGCCTCTGGCCCACGTCTGACCGGCCTCTCGTGAGGTTTGGGAGATGGGCTGAGTCTCGATGTCATTTCTGGGCAGAGGAGCTGAAGAAAATAACGTGATAACAGATGTTTGACGTTGCATCCTGTTCTCTCCTGAAATCTATTGTGAGGTTTGAATGGTTAGTGTTACAATGAATGTGGCCCTTTTGTAAACATGCTCTTTGATACTTGGCCAAAAACTTTTTATAGCTGTATTTTCACCGAGATTGATGACCTTTTGCTTTTCCAGAGCAAAGCAGCTTGTTGGTTGGTTTGTTTCACAAAGCAATCTTGCATATAATCCCTAGGGGGAATAGTTTATTTTTGTTCCTTCTCTTGACTTTCTTTGTCTCTAATACAATGTATCTGCTAAATTTACTGGGGAGGAGGTTGTCAACTACTTTCCAGAGGATGGCTCTTCCTGCTTGTTCCCGCCAACTCCTTTTTCTAAATCTCTTGTAGCATTGAGGCTTTTCAGGGTTTTAGTGGTCATCTGGATTATTCTCCCCTCCAAATCTCTGTTACTGAAAGGCAACTGAATTGTTCTCAGCTGCTTGGAGATTTTTCAGTGTTTTGCAGTCATGGATACAAGCGAGTCTAAGACTGCATGAAGAAATGGATTAGGATAATTTTTTTTCATTCTTCACGATTGAGCATCAGTCTTGACTAATCAGTAGCTTTTGATCTGATTCACTGCTTATTTCAGTCAACCTTCTCTGCACTTTTGTCTTTCACAATCCTCTTGTGTTTGTCCTGGAGTTTATAATTTTCTTCTTAAAAGTGTTTTATGCATTTTTTGTGATAGTAAGAAAAACCTCTTGTGTACAGGTATTGGACCTATCCATATGAATATGATGGGGATAAATTTTCACCTTCTTCCAGGCTGATGACACATTGCTGTAATGTACAGCCTGTGTCTCTGACATTTTGGTTTAGATGTCATCTACCTTTCTGAAACTGAACATGAAGGAAATTAAATCCTTTGTCACTGTGTTCCCTCTTTTGGCTATTTATGTGGTAGGTATTTCTGTGGACTGTTTTGACAGTTCCTGCACTTAGCATCAGCTTTGACTAGCTGTTTTTTTGAGCTATATTTTTGTGAGACCAGTAGGATTTTTGCGGTCATGTTAGATTTTTGGAAGAAACTCGCCTATCTTGCTGTATGGCATAGAAAATTATCTCTGCATTTGTCTTGCATCTTAGTTTATTTAGAAGTGTTATGACTGCACTCTTGGATTTTAAGTTTCTTAGTTTATTTTAGGAAATCCTGTGTCATTGTGTTGTGCTAAGAATCAAATGAGTATTACTTTTCCTTACAGATTTTCTGTTGCTTTTCTAGAAGCAGTGGCAGAGACTCCATCTAGAATTTTTTTCCCCCTCCTATTTATTGTACTATTTAGGCCATTAACTTTACTACCAAATAAGAAAACCATTGAGCTTTTTTTTATTTTAACCTATTTCAAAATGAATATTGGAGTCTGCTCTTAAGGTGTCAGGCTGAGAGGCACCATCAGGGTACCCATCCAGATAAGCTCTATCACTCAGCTGTGATGGTCTGATCCATTTGGACCTGGAGTTCTGTTTTCTGTCCAGCAAGCAGATTACCTGAGTTTATAAGATACATATCAAGAAAAACTATGTACCTTCTATATGCTTGTGAAGTTTTGAGAAACATATTTTTTCCTCTTGCTGCTTAGTGCTTTTTAACGTTTGTCTGTTTAAAATCAAAAGCAAGGCAAAACCTCACTTAGGGGTAGTGATGAAAACCAGCTTAAATTTTAAAAAGTTAAATACCTTGCAGTTCAGCTAAGTGAGACACATAATGGTTGTAAACAGGATGAAGCAATACTTGGAAAAAAACCTCACCACACAAAACAAAGAAAACCAAACCCACCTGTGACAGCAAGGAATGTTTCAGGATGCCAGCACTGAGCAAACCACTGGTACAGATGATGTGAACTATACTGTTTTTAAACTTTAATTTGAAACATTGATTAGGAGATCCAACTAGATGATGTGAACTATACTGTTTTTAAACTTTAATTTGAAACATTGATTAGGAGATCCAACTACAGTGTGATTTAAAAAATAAAAAAAGAAAAAAAAAAAAGAAAAAAAAGGAGAAAATCTTCCTGACCTTTTATTTGCTGTTACTTAAGGGCTAGGACTGAAGGAATCTTTTCTTTTTTTTCAATTACCAGTAATTACAAAAATATACACTGTTCCCAGGGCTCTGACTTCGCCTTGGCTTGGTTTAGCTTCCTCTATCACCCAGCCGATGCTTTTGTACCACTCCCCGTGCTTGACATGTGCTTAAGCTTAGTTTGTCATCTGGGTCAATTATGTCAAAATATTTTCCAATTCAAGTTTCCTCTGCTTTTCCCTTCAGCTCTTGGCTGTGGCAGCTCCAGCAGATTAATGAGGCTTGGAAAGGTCGACTGCTTTGCTTTGTGAAGAACTGTCACTGAGTTTTGGGGGAGATAGCGTAGCTTTTTGATGGGGATTTCAGTGAGCAGAAGCCTGAAATAAGAAAACTTGGTGACTGTAAGTAGTTACAAGCAAGGCATTTAGGATGAAAAATGCAGAAGCATTGTGGTTTTATGAGAAATTTTGGTGAACGTTTGATAAAATTTCTAAAAATATCCACAGTAACACATTTACAGCAACTTGTTAGTTAATTAGCAGATAGTAAAAATAGCTCTATTTGAAAAATTTGACATTTTTTACAAGGGATAACAAGTTGAGATACTTTGGTGAGCTCTTTTAATCCTGAAGCTCTCTGCATATTTTACTCAACTAAAAATAAAAAAATCTCATTCATTCTATTCATCCGTTCTTATCATAAGCTTACCAAAAGTGAATATGCAGGCAGAAAATGGTTAAATGTAATCCCCATCTCTGTTTCTTTGTCCCTTCTCAATTACTTTGCAAATTTAATTTTTATTAGCACTTAGTTTCTCTCTCTCTCTTCAAGTTTACAGTGGAGGAATGGAGTTTTGCTTGAGGTGTGAAGCCTCAGCAAATAGGTTTTGCAGCAGGGGTGGCTCATTTTGTGTGGTTTTGCTGTGTGATTTTGGATCCTGCATGGATCCTGCCCTGATGATGCCAAAGGCACTCCGAAGGCACTGGTGCATGCAGTGAGTGTAATTCAATGTTTCCAGTCAGTTCATTCCGCAGTGCAAATCCTGGCTTCTGTCCTGTGTAAAGAAGCCTCAGAAGAGTGTCACTGGAGTTTGCTGGTCAAGGCAAACGGCAAACAAGTCTCTGAGGCATGGCAATAAAGAAAATTAGATATTATAGTTACCTTTGCAGTCTGGCCATGCTGTTTGTTGCAGCTTCACTGCAGGGATTGGGGATGACAAGGTTTTGCCAGTTTGCTCCCGTAAATACTTTGGGAGCCCACAAGCACCTGCTGAAATTGAAGCTTTTCAATCCCCAGACAGGTGTCAACAAGTTTTTAAGGTCCTCTGGAATGCAGGGCAGAGGAAGTGATTAAAGTGGTGCATGGTGCTCAGCCTGGGGTTTCCTTGTACTGAGAAGCTGAGAGTGATGCAGATTAAATCTTTAAGCAGCCCTGAAAGAGAAAAGGCAGGCTTTATTCTTAACAAGCAAACAGAATGCGCTTTCTGAGCAAATATTTTTCTATGCAGCGCAACAAATTACCAAATCACACATGCATGGCCTCTGCCTTAGAAAGAGCCTTACTGTTAAAATAAAGGAAGTCTCAGTGTTTATCTTGTTAACTCGCTTCCCTGCAGCCACCCTGAGTCATGTGCTGCTTTGCTTGGACTGTGGGAGGGATGGAATAGCATTTTGCCATGGAGATCACAGTGCCAAAAGACTCAATAACTGATTTCTGAGTCTCTTCAGTGTTGTTAGAGTAGAGCATAAAGCTGAGAGAATTGGGATTGTTCAATCTGGAAAAGAGAAGGCTCTCTAGTCATTAGTAGTGACCTAATTGTGGCCTTCCAGAACCTAAACAGAGCCTACAAGAAAGATGGAGAGTGACTTTTTTCCAAGAGCATGTAGTGACAGGATAAAGGGGAATGGTTTGTAGTTGGAACAGAGTAGATTTAGTCTAGAAAGATTAGGAAAAATTCTTTACTGTGAAGGTGGTGAGGGAGTGGCACAGGTTGCCCAGAGAACTTGTGAGTTACCCATCCCTGGAGTTCTTCAAGGCCATGCCAGATGAGGCTCTCAGCAACCTGGCCTGGTGGAAGCTGTGTGTCCCTGCCCATGGCATGCAGGTTGGAACTAAATGATCTTTAAGGACTCTTCCAACCCAGGCCATTCTGTGATTCCATGACTCTGTCTCACCTTCAGTGTCAAAACTGCAAAGAATGAAAAAAAGATGCTGTTTTTAACTCTGTGAAGGGTGTAGTGGTGGGGTGGGATCAAACATTGCTCCTCTGAGCTGGATGTCTAAGCTTCTCCTGCAGTCTTAAGAGAAATTAAGCACATGGCACCTGAGCAGTGAATGTCTGTCTGCCTAAAGTGTGGGCACTGAGGATTGACCTGGGAACACATTGTGAACAGCTGAAAAATAATTTTGACACCTGTCTTTTTTTTTGTTGTTCATTTCTGAGATTCACAGTACAGAGCTCAGTTTCTAAAGCCATCATTTGAAATTAAATATTGTGACTGATACTTCAATGTCTGATTGTTTCTGCTTTGAATACAGCAGAGAAGGAATTGTGCATTATCTTGTAGTAATAATCTAGAGTAATAATCTATTGAATGTGATATAAACTCTCTGGTTGGATTTTTAGAACACAGGAATTGTACTCTGTGGCTAACACAATTTAATGTGTCTGTGTAAGGGCCCAGAACCTGTATGTGAGGTTATCATGGTATTTCTGAAGTGTCTAGACTGAACTGTGTGCTGGAGACATCTGGAGCTATGCCCATGTGACTCAGAAAGCCTAAGTGCATAACTTGCCTGATTGTCAAAAGAGTAAAAAATATGGAAGAGAAGTCACTGACTAAATTTCCTACCCAAGTGGTGGAAAAAATCTGCAAGTGGTCTTAAGCCCTGCTCAGAAAAATGACTGATACTCTTTAACTTCAGGGATAGCAGATGTCCCTCTTGCAGTTTAAAAACGCTTTGAGAACTTCTGTCAAAATCATATGGGCACAAGCTTATCTCATGTTACTGCATGTATACAGGGGTTTTATCTTCTGTGCAGATAATCTTTCAAGAATTGATTCTGATAATATTTTAAATGTAAGGAATTTTTGGTTTTTATGGAATAAGAAATAAATTAAGAGTCATCCAGTCCAGACCCTAAGCAAGTACAAGGTTTCATGATACACGGGATAGATCCTGTAAGTGAGGGTGGAATAGTCTTTAAGCAGAGCATGCCTGGAAACTCTCTCTACTTTGAGGCTGAATAAAGAAACCTCAGCAGTATCTAGTGGGCCTGAATTAGACTTTTTTACTGTCAGTCTGGACTTTAGCTCACAGATGCTTATATGCATGGCTAAGCTACAACTACTTCTGCCAATTTTCTGCTCCAAATCTTTTACTGGTTTTGGAGTCTCTGTGCAAATGACCACAAGAAATAGGTTTTATTTCTTCATGTCTGTTTGTATGGAAGATTACTTGTTGCAGATGAGAACAGAGCTGTGCAGCATTAAACTGGGCCATTTTTTACTAGCACCTCTTGGTCAGTCTATCAACAGCTATAAAAAGCTTTTAAGAGAATCCTTATCCTCACCCCTTGGCCAGAAATGATCTTTCAACAAATGTCAGATTGCTAAGTCAAGCTCATGTCATTTGATTTTTAAAGCAGTTAGAAAAGCACTGAAAAATAAAAAAACTCTCCTGGTGTTCCTTCAGTAACCTCCAAAAAACGTCTGCTAAAGATGAGCTTTGCAAAAATGAGAAGCTGTGTCAGCTGCCAGCAGGTGACTTTGTGGTGGCCTGCAGGCTGCCTGTCCTGCAGATTTATTTTTCAAATAACAGCTGCCATTGGTCTGAGCTGAAGGACAGCACAGGTGCAGACAGGGTAAAGCAGAGGCTCAGCTCAGATGGGACCAGAGCTCACCCAGTCCATTTGCTATCTCCAGCTGCTTTGAACATTTCTAGTTTTTGTATTGTGGTTTTCAGTGTTTGCATGTTTGAATTGTGCAGCAATTCAATCCATGTTTCTCCTCTTCTGTGTGTGCTTTGTCTTACTTTGGAGCCTTTTCTTTTCTTGCCATGGACAGTAAGGAGTCTGAGCTGCTCACAATAAAAAACATGACACTCAAATGCAGTTCTTGTATCTCTCAAGAAGGGTGAACTTGGAGATTTTCAAACCAACTTCCATGAAAATTCTCCACAAAGAGGCACTGGTCATTAACATGTAGCAGTCTTTCACCTACAGTTGTAGCTTAATGAAGAGAAAAATAGAGAAAAACTTCATGTCGAAGCTTACAGCAAAAAGTTGCATTCAAAATAATTCTCTTTGAAACATTTTAAACAGTATTTATTGCTTTGATGTTACCTTCATCATATTTTAATGCTTAATTAAAAATAAAACTACAAGCATCTGAAATTAGCTTGTACCTTAAAGCTCAAATAGAGTAGTTTTGGGTTTAAGTTTTGTTTTTGCTGAGACAAAAGAAAATGTCAGGCTTGTTTGATGTTGGGTCATAGGAGAGGAGCACTCTATTGGCACTGATGTGTGTGATGTTGGTTTCCATGGGAATACTGATGTGAACAAAGATTACTTATGGGAATCAGGGCATGAAAGAGAAGGTCCACAGGCTCCAAGGAAAAGTTAGTGAGAGAAATCTGTAATTGTGGGTAGAGTCTGCAGCAGTTTCTCATTGTAACAGAGAACTGGATGGAAAGAGAGGACTCTGCTCTTGCTCCTTATGGATTTGTCAGAGCCATGCTGTTGGATTGCTCATCTGTCCTGGACTTGATGAACAACGAGGGCATGGAGCAGCTGGGCTGCAGTCTGTCCCTCACTAAATGCTGCATGATCCTCATGGGTGGTGTCAATAGCAGCAAAAGACTCTGTGCTTCTCTCTCTCACCTTGTTTTTGGTGTTTCTCACCTTGTTTTTCCCTTCTCTCTTTCCTGTGTTCCTTGGTCTTGTGTCTGTGTAATTCTGTTTCCACGCAAGTACCCACCAGACTCCAGTTCTGCAGTCACTGGGAGCCTCCAGGTGACACTTCAGCTACCACAGCAGTTGCTTTAAGGGTGGATGTTGCTGAAAGAAAACAATGATAAATGCATAATTTACCTTTCCTACAGGCAAGGCACACAGTGCTGGCCCTGTCAAGCCTTGTGGCTTTGGTTTGTGTGGTGTTCTAGGTCTGGCTGCTGCACTGTCTCACCTGGTCCTTTGGATCAAGGACAGCTCTTTGAAAAGAAAGAAATAAAAATGGTGTCTATGCCTGGATGCTTTGCTGATACCAGATAAGTTGTGCTTTGCTTTTCAGAGGATGTATTTTTTAACCCCTGCTTAAGCACAGGTGTTTTCCAGTGTCAAGGTAAAAGTCAGTGCATTTGCTGTTACTGCAGGAATGAAGATGAGCATGAGGAGGGGAGGCTGCAAAAACCAGTGTGCTGCACTTTTAAAGTGATGACTCTCTGTTCCACCAATCTGGGAGCAAAGTCCAGGTGGTCCCATTCAAGGAGGGCTTGTGACAGAGGCTCTGTCACTGCCAGTGCATAAATGTGTGTTTGTCACACATTCTTAATTGTGACACACCTGCTGTTAAAGCTGCTCTGGGCTGAGTGATACCTGAAGGCACCCACAGCTGGGAGGAGGTGGTTCAGCTTTCTGACTGTGAAGGATATTGTTTCTTCTGGGGAAATTACAGGGATACCTGTTGTTGCCTGGGAAATAGGTTGGAGCCACTGGCTCTTTTTGTTCAGGGCAGCAGATAATGATCCTTGTTTGTGGCTGCAGATCAATGCTGATGCAAACTGGGCTGAAATGAACAGCATGAAATGAGTCATTACCAATCCCAGGAGAAGCTGAGACCTATTAGGAAGCATGATTTAAGCAGCCTATCCTACAGGATACAGCAGAAGAGAAAATACTCAGAGAATTTGCCATTGTTTTACTTTTTATAATTGTAAGAACTTGTTCAAGACTGGAATGCTGACCCTGTGGCCTCCAATCTGTTTCTGGTGGACAGGGCTGTGAGGAGAAACAGGCACCACAGCAGCTGGCACTCATAATCCTGCTTGGCAGCCTCAGCAGAGGAGCAGGAATGTGCATGAGCTCAGACACTGAGCAGCTTCCTCACTAGGGATGGGTTTCAGGTGTGCTGCTAAATATTGGTTTAAGTCACTGTTGTGGCGCTTGGTTAGACAGGATGCAGGTTGAGAGTGCAAGTAAATGCTTTACTGTGATTTGTCCTTCTGGCTGATTTGCAGCCCCTTGGTGTGCTGTTGTTGAGCACTTTTAAGAATCTCACAGTGTTTGGTTTTTATTGTTAATTCCATTTCTCATGAGGGCACTGGCAAAGTATTAGGATGATAGGACTAACCAATGTGCATAGGTACTAAAATTAATGGAGAAACCTTGGTGCAGGTAGAGGGTAAGTAAAAACGCACCCCTAAGACTTAGAAATGACAAAATCCCAGATTTTTTTTGTAACAGCATGACCTATGTAGCTCTGGCAGATTGTCTCAGTCATTTTGTGTACAAATGTATCATGCATTTTAATTTTCTATTTTGCAGGGGCCTGAGTTGATGAATAAATACGTTGGTGAGTCTGAGCGAGCAGTGAGAGAGGTGAGAAAGGGCAAGCTGTGGATAATGTTAGATAATAAGCTTCTTTGGCTTTCAAATTCTTCTCTGCTTATGCTTATTAAGCTTTCTGAAAAACTCCTTCTAGTGTAAGCTTAAAAAGGGAAAGAGGAAAACGGAGCAAGAGGAATATTTAGCTTCCTCCTGCATCGACCTAGTCAAATTTGATCTGCATGTCAAATTTGGGATCCTGTGGCAGCTTTTACTACAAGCTCATATTATTAAAAAAAATCTGTTTTAAAATGAAAACAACCCAAGACAAGACAGGCTGATGTCTGTTACATGAAGCTCTGTAGCTCTTGAGGTGTGCAGGGGGTGATAGTGTACTATAAAAAGCTTCCACCCCTTAAAACTGGGTATTTCATTGTTGTTTTTTGTAGATCTTCAGGAAAGCCAGAGCAGTGTCTCCTTCAATTCTTTTCTTTGATGAAATAGATGCCTTGGCAGTTGAAAGGGGAAAGTAAGTAATCCTGTTACAAAACCAACAGACATTATTTCCTGATAAATTACTCTTACACAGCACAGTCACAAATTCATTTACCTTTCTAGAATTGTTTTATTAAATATCTTCATTCTTTGTACAGAAGGGTAACGTGTGACTTTTACTCAAGCCTATTTAACTTGGCATAAACAGGTAAGCTGATGTAGTTCCTCCTTTCTCATCTCATTAGCAGGAATGAATCTACTGGTTCTCATGCTCTTTGGCTCTTTTCTGTGGTTTTACCTTTTATTTCCAGTAACATAACTCCTTTCTTTTCCCAGGCCCTGGCCTAATTTGGTGTCTCCATCAAGCAAACAATATGATCATAGGCTATATAGCACAAATTTCCAAAGAGAATACTCACGTACCTAAATTTACATCTATGTTTAAATGTTTTGCCAGACTGGGAAAACTTCATGAAAGTATTTGGAAACACTTGTGTCCTTTCATGTGTGACATTAAGAAGGGATTATTGTGCAAACAGCTAATAGTATTTTTTTTTTAATAACCTGCTTTGTGGTAATTCATGTCTGAAGTAGGATTATTGCAGTTTTTAGTTCTGCTACGGCATATTTAAGATTTGACTGGCTCTGTAAGTGGACTTTCTTGGGGAATACCTCCTTATAAATAAAACTGCTACTTGCTGTTGCATTAAATACTTTCATCCTGTTTTATTTTGCATGACAAGCTACCAGACTGGTGCATCAGAAAGTATCTGTCATTTTTAAAGGCACATCAAAACTTCAGTGTTTTTCTGGGAAAAAAAGCTCCCTCAGCACACCTACAGATCATTTTTGTTTACAGGAAGGGCCTTTGTATCTTCAGGAAAGGATAGCAGGTGTAATTTTGATGTTTTGGTGGCACAGGAGGTGGCATCACATGTAGCATAGAGCTGCCCTGTGAAGCTGTTAAGATGTGAACATTGCTGTTGAAAATACTAAATCTGATTGGAGATGTTTTCCTGAGAATCCTTCTCATGTGCAGTGTATGCAGCTGTGAAATTTGTGAGCTTCCTGTGTACTGAAGCAACAGAGAAATTGCAAAATTGTTTGCTTGAATCAAGCCAGTGGAGGGGAAAAAAATATCATCCCCTGCTGCAATTGTTAATGTGTTTAGCTTTCAGAACCAGCCCTTCATCAAGATCAAACCTCTTGGAAGGTTAAGCCATAGTACATTTTAAACAGTCTTTTCTCACAGTGCCCTGGAGGTGTTGAGTTTGTTTGTTTGTTTGCTTTTTTAGGGAGTAAACAACCTGATTTTACCTTACCTGGGACTGTCTGTGGGGAATAGTAGGCCTGGCACAGCTTGCTGAAGAATGTGGTGTGACCTGCTGCAGTCGTGTTGTGCTGGAGACATCTGGTTTTGGAGCTTTAAAAAGAACAGGGTGGGACACACAAATATTTCATTGTCAAATCTGAACCAGATGGGAGGTAAAATATGTAGCAGAGTTCTCATAAAATTCATCTGAAATTAAATGGTGTAGGAAACCAGACAAGGCACTTATTAGAAATGGCCCTTTTTTACAGGCTGGCTTTGCACAGTAGGAATTTGCAAATGCACTAGAGATGCTAACGATTTGTGGCCTCTGGAGATCCATTTCCTGTACTATTACTGACCATGCTGAAGTTTTCAAGGAAACACCTGTTTATATTGTCTCCCCATTCCCTCTGTTGGCTCAATTAGTTTTCTTTGCCTTGGCAGTGAAAAACACTCTGTGATACAGCTTTGTGAGAGTTTGAATCCTCTTGGTTTAAATCCTTGACAGGATGCTGTGGGTTTGGTGCAGAATGTTCCACATTCCATATCTCCTGGGTAGGCAACCTCTCCTGATCCTATCAGGGATGTCCAGAAATCCAGAGAAGCTGAAACTGTTAAGTTGGAGGAGTAATTTTACGTATAATTCTGATCAGAAATATGGATGTGAAATAACCTTGAGTAAATCGCTTAATGCTTTTGTTCTTCAAAGCACCCTGCCAAGTATTCATTAACCCATTATTTAGATTTGACTAAGGCTTGTGGGTTTAAAACACAAATGTTTTGATTCCAACCTTCTGTAGAGATCATTAAACAATCCCTTCTCAGCAACAGGCACATATGAACCAATAGACTTTGTAATTAAGTGACTGTGGAGGTAGACAGAGAAAGCTAAATTTTCTTGTTTGGACCATTCATAGTAATGTCTCCTTTGCATCAGGTAGTGGATTCTGTCACTGCACAAACCATTACAAACACTGTGGCTGCACTCATTGATTTCACATTCCCAAGCCATAATTAATTCCATAATTGTAATGCATCTAACACGCTACCTAATGTAACTGTCCCGTGTAGCAGTTTTGTTTTACAAAATCTATTTGTGTGTGTTCATCAGTTAGAACTAATAATACTTTGAAGTTAGAAAAAATTAGAGTAATTGACACTGTTCATTGTCAAAATGTTGTTTTATTTGGAAAAGATGATTTCTTATCCTGCTTAGAAGTTCTGTATGTTTTATCCATATGAACTAAGCTCCTGGATTTTTTTCTTGTCTGTCCACATCCTCCCTATTTTGCATGTAGGCAACCCATTAATACATCAAGGAATTAAGAATGTGGGATGGATACATACCAGTGTTAAAGACAATTTATGAAAATATAATCCCACAGTTTTGAAGAAAAATAATTCAATGTTAGGTGCAATTGCTTGAAAGAAAAATCTGATTTATCTTTGATGCAAGAGAGGGTGATTCTGAATGGACTTGAGTTTCCAGTGTGGTAGTGAAGACGTCAAGATACTTTGAGCTGTGTTCACTTCTGCTTTTTGTTCTGTTACTCTGAGCTTGTAATGCTCATGGATGATTTTTCCATCTCTTTCTGATTAATGTTGAGATGTTAGAATAAGTTTAGAGAGAACTGAAAATGAAAAATTAGTGGCTCAGTGGCTTGACTGTAGAGAAAAAGGGGGCATTCACCATGACTGTTTCTAAAGAGCAAATGATAAACCTGCAGCAGAAAAGATGATAGAAAGTTAGAGGTGTCACTGTGAAATTTGAAGAAGAGAAATGATTGAAAAAGGAAAACCTTCTGCAGTCGTGCACCAGGAGAGCTGAACCATGAGATGCACAGAGCCTTTTCCTCTACTTTGTGGTTCTAGTTAGCATTTGTTTATAAGCAGATTATGGCTTTTTATTTTCTTTCCCCTTACTTCTGAAAGATGCTGTAATGACTTTTTGTAGGACAGATTGCAGTGAAGCAGGACAGGTCCAGATGCAGCAGAGTGTAAGCAGGAAAGTTTGCCTTGAATTGATCCCGTGCCTCCACAAAGCTTGGGAGGCTTTACAAATTGTACAGCTGCCAAGAGTTACGGGTAGTTGTTACCCTCAGTATCCTGACCATATAAAACCTAATTCTTCTGGCCATTAGGGGTTGCCAAGAGGGAAATAGCTTGGTAATTAGACTTGAAAGTGATGAATGAACGTGGGTCTGTGTAAATGCAGCACAGACAGTCTGTTTGCTGAACTTCAGAAATCTCTGTGCTTTGGAAATGGGACATTGTTTATATAAGTAAGATTTTTAGGATTTTTCGGCAAGAGATATCCTTTTCTTGTTTTTCAGAAGCAAAGCATTTCCCCTTTAGCTACAAGTCTCTATAATGTAGGATGGGAAATTCTGTAGACTGCTGAAAAAGACACTGAGAAATTCTCTTTTCCAAGGAGAATAAAAAAAAAAGACAAGGGAGAAAATCAGCACCTTGCATTTGACTAGTGGAGGCCAAAAGTTGGTAGATGAATGTTGCTAACCTTTTCAGAGTGAGGGTAGAAGTGACAAAGTGAAGTGACTTTGGTACCAATCCCCTCAAACCACAGCATGATGATGCTTTTTTTTTGGGAAAATAATGTTGTCCTGTATGCTGGTGGGAGAATAGATAGATAGATTCCTAAGTCATAATTTAATGTAGTCAGAACCCCTGAAAAACACACACTGTTTTCACTTTAGGTAATAAAATCTTTGCAGTCTCAAATTTTGAGGCTCTTGGGCTTTTAGAAGGAGCTGTGAGGAGCAGCAGCTTCTCTTCTGCAATGTGCCACCTCCGCCTTGAACAGGGATAGTGATAAATCTTCTCTTTTTAAACCAAGATATCTTTAAGGGATGTTTTAGCTCATGTTTATTTATCCTCTGCACTTGAACTTGTCATTGCATTTCAGTACCTGTGCAAATTCCCTGGTGCAATGGACAGCGTCTGTCATTGAAGGAGGTCAGTGTGATGCATCCCGTAGTGAAACCCACGAGCTGGATTCTGTGGGGACACAGCAAAAGAGGTTCTTGGCAGAAATCCACCTTGCACAGGATAAATTGGCAGTACTGAAACTGGAGGAAGTATTGTTCCCCTAATATTTCTCATGCAAAGACAGAAGAACATGAACAAAGTATACCTAGAAAAAACTGAGTTTCCCCCGCCATGATTGTTTTTGAGGGACCCAATTCTCGTTCAGCTCAGACAGAACTTTTTGTTTCTGGCCTCTGTTGGCACTGGTGTCCCTGAATTGGGGGACATCAGCTGATTCCCTGCAATATCTGAGTTATGTTTGCAATGATAGAGAATTGAGGCATTCAAAACTTTTGTGACTGCTCTATGAATTCTTTAAAGTTTTGGAATTTGGTATCCAAACAAATATTGTCTGGGGAAAAAAGCTGCATGCCTAGTGTCAGGATCTTATTTTAGGCCTAGAGAGGAGTGGTGAAAGAGGAAAGTTTTGAAACAATTTTATTGTACAGTAAAGGTTGTAATTGGTTTTGGAAGAACAATTTTAACAAATAGCATTGCCCATAGCTGATATGTGTATACAGTAAATGTCTGCAGTCCCTTTAATTTTAAGGTAAACTTGTTAGTGCTTTTGACTGTCAAGAATCCTTTATCACAATGTGGTTTTGAATCTGTGTTTTTCTTCTTTTTTGTTTATAAACCCTTTCCTTGAAGTCAACATTTTAATGATATGCTGGAGG